CTAGCAGATAGAAGTTTCTCCCATCAGGTGAGCTGGCAAACAAGTGTTCATAGAGGAATATGCTAAAGTTAAGTAGCATTCACTGACCAATTCTGACACAAGATGAAACTAAGCTTAAGAGAACATTTTTTTTTTCGTATGTTTCTTTCTTCCCATCCCCCACCCAAGCAGAAAAAAGCAAGACACAAGTCTTCTGCCATACTAATGTATTCCATCTTTCAAAAAGAAAGACATGATTTTAATATTACTTAACAATATGTTAAAAAAGTAGCCAGTTAGGCTTCAGTGTTAATACAATTATACACTCTATAACAGATTTGATAGTGTGAGTACTGTTCTTTTTTAAATTTTCTCATTCTGCAAGTATTTTTACACAAGCTGGCTACAAGTCAGGAAAAAAAAAATCAAAACACAAATAGCGTAACTTGTACACTCTTAAACAGTAGATTGTGAAAGAACTGAGGAAATACTTGTCCCATAAGAGCCTCTTTTTCATGAAGTCATGTCAGGAGAATTCTGGCGCAGATGAAAGCACAACCGACTAGGTCCATTCCTTTGTCAGGAGTCAGAATGACAAAACATAGCTAGATGCAGAAGTGACAGGAGCCACTGCAGATGATGCAAACTAGTATTTTGGCCTCCACCCAAGCCTAAGCAATTTAAAGTCTTTGAGGCCAAGGCATTCAGAAGGAGATGGAAAAGAGCTATTGTTCCAACTCCAACAGCATACAGCTACAATCAAGTAAGTCTCACTCACAGACTACAAGCACACAAGCTAACAAATTCAGGTAGAAAGTGGCAATTTTTCAGTCCGCAAGAATTATCAGGCCAAAGGGTTCAGTGCAGATCCACACAGCACTGGGGACAAGGCAAGGCAGCACTGGCTCAAGACCAGATAAGCTCTCAGCACAGCAGGACAGATAAGTGGAGTTGTCGTTCATTGATTCCTGCAGGGTTCCCTCCCCATATCGTGTCATTTCAATGTGCAGCAAAGGTGGTTTTTTTCAAGCTAAAATTGGACCAGTTGATGGAAAGTCTCTGCCTTGTCTGTCTGGCAGAATCCAAGCAGAATCTGAAAAGAAAAAAGCGATAAAGTAAAACCAGTATACCTAACATCAAACCACAGGCATTACCCTCTTTTGAAGAGCAGCTCTCATTCAGAAAAACAAAACCTCTTAAAAAAACATACCTAAAAAAAAAAAATCACTTGTCCATCACTGAAATACATCATAAATCAGTTACTTTAAACACCACTGCATTATCGAGTGTAAGTGAATGAATTAGCAAAGAACACTGCATATTTAGCAACACAGAAACCAGCTGAATGTTAACTAGAAACAGAGCCAACATTGCTGTATTCACCAAACACCTTGTAACAGTAAGAATGAGTGGTAGGTAATGTGTAAAGCAGAAGCACCAGTAGCATGGGACACTGCTGCTTCTCTTCTGAATACAGCGAAGTTATGTTTGAGACAAAGACCTAGGGAAAGCAGGTTTGTTTATAATACAGCAGGTAAGTAGCCCACATGCCTGAAAAAAGCACCTTCAGACCAAAAATCTACTTATTCACTTTCACTGAACACAATTTATGGAAGAGCTTTTGAAAAAGATTGGTATGTACAGGTATGTCAGTGACAGTTAATTCACGCTGAAGTCCTCTACCGAGTCAAGGTGTAGCTTGTTTAGGCTACAGGCTGCATGACAGCATCAAGGCAGTGCATACCCCTCTCCGGAAGGCTATACAGCTTCTGTAACAACTGAAAGCCAAAAAAGGGGAGCAGACAGAAGGAGCGAAATAGAAAGGTACAGCGGAAGGTTAGAAGAACTAAACTTATTCTGTTCTTTCTATGCTAAAGTTAGAAGGAGCTTGCAAAATTAATTCCGAAGTCAGGGTGTAATTAATGTATCCATTTACTATGCCACTACATAGCAAGAAGAAAAGATGATGAATTAACAAGCTATCAGTAAAAAGTAGGAACTCGGTAGACCTGTGCAGCTCATTGCCATGGAGGGTTATAAAAATCTGCAATGTTGCCAGCCTTTTAAGTATTGTGTTGGAAATTATCAAATTATAGAAAACAATTGCATTAAAGGTGCCTTCATGGCATCAAGTGGCTCTTTCTCCCCTAGAACAGCACCTATCAGGGCATTTCGGACACCTTTTCTAAACAGCTATACAGAAAAAAAATGGGATGGTTACACACACTCCCTAACAGATGACAGTAAAGGAGTAGACTACACTAATTACTGAATTGATTATAAAACAGTACTGTTAAAAGTTTTAACTCTTCGTTTGGAATCACGTTCAACAAGTTTATCTCCAAGCTTCAGCTGCACTTCCACAAATATAAGACACTGCTTCATTCGTTCTATTGAGAGTAGAGAATTGGTGAAAAAGAACTTTTCTATTTCCTTGTGTCAGATACTACAAACTTGAATGAAGCTAAGAATGTTCCATGAAACCCCTAACAAAGGCTTATGCTATATCAACGCTAGCACTAATATATGCTACATTTCACCTCTAAAACCTATGTTTTGATTTAAAAAAAATCCTTTAATTAGCACCACTCAAAAATAATTTTTAAGAATAGAGAGTATATACTTTTGAAAGTTTCATCTTTAGTCCATTGTAACCCCAGGAATAGTGACAGACATATGTGTTTTGTATAATAGTAATAAGCAGCACAGGGAAGCAGTTGTACTCTGTCCTTTGCAAGACGCAGACATACATTACATCCCAGGCACACATACTATCAAAACTATATAAATTTAGGAAAGAACTTGAAATCCATACCAAAAGCCATTTCTTAAAAAAACCCCACCCTTTAAACAAATGGCTTTAATTATTTTGTGAAATATTCCTGTTGATTCCTAAATTATTCAATTGCAGGAAACTGATTTATTGGTAACGTTTCAGATTTGTCTATCATGATGAAAGGCTTGCTAGATGTATTCATGGGAAACTAGCACACCCAGCCACCATTAAAGAACACAAGTCTGAGTAGATTTCAGTATTATGGAAGAACATGTGCTACATTATTTAAACATGAGCTGTTTGCTCATATTTGAGGAATTTGAAGGTAACTGCTGTGATGCATAAATCCCAAAAGCAACCAAAAAGCACAGAAGAAAAATGTTTCACAAGCACAGTTTCATATTATTCTTTTACTGTCACTGCATTAGCATAAGCATCCCCTCTTCATGACTGGTATAAGCTAATATCCCACAGTTGTACCATCTCTACTTTATGTACAGTATAAAATTCCAAACCAATAGCTCCTATAAACAAGAAGAAAACATAATGAACTAGCCTTTTTGAAGTATCTGTTCTGAAATGTAAAATATAAAGTTTCATTTACTCAACACTTTATAGCTAACATAGCATTTTTCTTATTTTTTTTTAAACACTCATCAGTACTTAGTCTGTGTGCATAATAAATAAAATATTCATGCAAACTTCACTTATAGAAAAAAAAATGGTAACAGAGGATATTCTGAAAGCCTTGATGAGAACCTGGGGGGGACACAGATGATTCTGGCACTCCCTTATGTATTTGTGCTACTTGGCTATGATATGTGCCCATAAATCTATAGCTTTGGTGACTGTTATAGTATTCAGAATGTCAGCTATAACAGGATTTGCTATGTTACAACACAGGATTTTTTTCTGCTAGGAGTTAGTTACTAAGTTGTGGGGTGGGTTGTTTGTTTGTTTTTTTAACCACAGCATATGGGAAGAAGCACAACAGCTTTATCCATAGGGATTACAGCACTTTACCTCTTAAAATACTCCACTTCTCGCTCTGTTTCATCCATTTCCACGCTGTCTAGATCAATGTCTTTGGGTAGAAACACATCATCTACAAAGGAAAAAGGATGATACTACATTAGATTCCATGGGGAGAGGAGAAAGAGGGAGGAAGAAGCTTGAGCAAGGTGCATTAAAGATGTTTTTGGAGAACTGCCTGAACTTCATAGACTATTGATTATTCATGTTTAGGCTGAATTAATACAAAGACTTGAACTAGTACCTCTGGTCAGCCTTTAATGAGCTACACTGGGAACAAGGAGAAAATGAATCAACAGTAAATTTACTGATCACATGGGTTGCAAAAGATGCCATAAACCTGGAATCCGCATGAGAATGGTCAAATTATACAAAGGGCTCAGATGAATCAGCTAGCTTATGAACAGGGTTTGCCTGAATTATTTGGCCTTACTACTAAAAAGGCACCTTTAGAAACATTTTAAAAATGGTATTTATAAAGAAAAATATTTCAAGAATTCTGGGTTTGAAGAGCTGCTGTACTCAGTCTGGGACATGATCATCAGGCTGTGTCTGCAAGATCCTAAGTCATACTACCTACAATTAGGAATTGTTTTTTAAAACGTTTTTTAACATATTTTAATATGTCCTGAATTTAGGCCTCAGCTATAGCAACAAAGTCTCTTTAAAGTCTGTTGGTATATTGTACTGTCTCAGTGTATGGTTCTCTTTTGTACTTAAAAAAAAGCTTCAGAAATGATAAATTTTTATAGAAACCAATCTGAGCATTTTCCTCTTAGAGTCTCTTTTCTTACTACATATATACTCCAACCACATTTCTGAAGTTCCAAAAAGGGTGAGACAAAGAAACTAACCAAAACCACATAGTAGACATCAGGACTCTCTCTCTTGAGGTTACAAGAACAAACAGCTCTCTTCTAAAGGCATTCCTTTTTTCAAAAGTTGCACATCTTTGCCGTGCAACTTCCTTCTGAAGAACCAGAAAGCCCTATAAACACAGGCTTTCCCCTAGTTTTCTTCAGCCTCTTCACAAGAAGCAGTTAAAATATCCTGCCAGAATATCTTTAAGAAAGAGGGATCAAATCAAAAGCAATAATGTTCACTGCCTTAGCACTTCATTTCAAAACTCAGTTACAAAACCCCCAAACTTTGTTACCCTCTTTTCATGTTCTT